CGCTCGTGGGCCAGGGCCAGAGCTTCAGCGACAGATAACACACCAGCGACGCAGAGCGCTGCGTACTCACCCAGACTATGTCCGATCAGCAGCGTGGGACGGAGTCCCAGTGACTGCCAATACTGAGCGAGGGCGATCTCGAGCGCGACGGTAGCTACCTGCATATCACGCTCACTAGGCACAGCATCCGGGGAAGAGGATCCGTGAATCGCATCGAGGAACTGGCAGTCCAGACCTTGCGCCCTGCAGAGCGTCTGGTATGAGTTGAGAAGGGCCCGGAAGGTGGGTGAGGTGCGGTACAATGTGCCACCCATGCCTACGTACTGGCTGCCCTGGCCCGTGAAAGTAAAGACCACCGACGATGCCGGCATCGGCTGTGCTGACTTGTCATTCGCTACTGCCGGGCGTTCCAGTTGACGGAGGAGCTCCGCTGTGGAGTTTGCTACGTGCGCTTCTCTGTGAACATGATGCATGCGGCGCGCAGTGGTGGTATAAGCCAGGTCGGATAGTCGTGTCTCAGGATATTGTGTGAGATACTGCTGTAGGCGGCTCTTATTTGCCTCCAGTGCTCTTTCCGTGCGGCCGGACGTGGCCACAACGTGAAACTGCCGATCGTCCGCCGCTGGGGGCGCAGGCAGGGCGAAGGATGGGGGGTCGTGGATGACCATGCTCACATTGCCCCCCGCAGCGTCGAAATTGTTGACAAAGACGTAGCGAGGAGTCATCCCATTGGGAGGCAATGACTGGCCGTTCGCGAGCTGGATCTCACTCCCTAACAGGGGAACTAGATGCGGGTTCAGCGTAAAAGGCTGGTCTGGTTGCGGGGGAATGGAGTTCCGTTGGAGGATCAGGATTCCCTTTATGAGCGATACCACCCCTGCTGCAGCCTCGCTATGCCCGATAGCCGCCTTGACCGCGCCGGCGATAAGAGGCTGGCGGCGACGAGGTCCCTCTTTGGACGCAAAGACGCTTCGCACGGCATGCATCTCCACACGGTCACCTGCCTGCGTTCCAGTGCCGTGCATTTCAATGACGTTGACGTCATGCGGGTGCACAGCCGCCTGTCGGAGCACGCGACGGTACAGAGCCGCTTGTGCTTCCTCGCCCGGGTACGTGATAGACCCCTCGCCAGCGTTACAGTTGCGAGACGCGCCAGCGATGACGGCTAGGACGTTGTCCTTGTTCCGGATGGCATCGGACAGACGTTTAAGCACGACAACAGCGACGCCCTCGCCACGACAGTATCCGTCAGCGCGATCAGAGTAAGTCTTGCAAGCACCCGTGGGCGATAGAAAGCCGCCCTGACTCAGACCGGCGAACCATTCGGGTGCTGTCAGCAGCGTGCCGCCACCAACAACCGCCGCATCGTATTTACCTGCCGTGAGGGCGTCGCGGGCAAGGCAGAGGGCGGTGGCGCTCGAGGAACACCCGGTATCAATAGCGTAGAAACCGCCTGCCCACTGGAAGTAATGCGACAGGCGGCCGGGCGCGAAGCCGCGGTTGACACCTGGCAGGAAGTGTGTATCAATGCCCTGCTGTTCATTGATCGTCTTCCAGTCGTCCGTTGTCTGGCCAAAGTAAGTGGCGATCCGCGGCGGCGACTGCTTGTGCTCCGCAGCGCTGGCAGCCGCGTAGCCGGCCATCTCCAATGCTTCGTATGTGGTCATGAGCAGCATGCGTTGCACAGGATCCATTTGCAAGGCTTCGCGCGGCGAGATATTGAACAGACGGTGGTCAAAGTCGCCTGGCCTTTTGATGAAGCACCCGTGGCGTGCGAGCAGAGCGTTGTGCTTGGAGCGAGACGGGTCGTAAAAATCTTCCACGGAGAACCGCGAGGAGGGAATTTCCCGATGCGTGGTTTTCGCTGTTTCCAGGAGGCCCCAGAACTCGTCCAGCGTGTCGCTCTCAGGGAAGCGTCCAGACATGCCAACCACAGCGATTGCGTCTGGCGGGATGCTGTCGACGCTGCTGCCAAAGGGCATTGGGCAAGACGGGAATTCGGCGAGAGAGACAGTTTGTCCATGTTGTAGGAGGATGTTCCGCATGGTAGATGCATCCCAAGTTGAACCAACCGTTGTCAAGACCACCTCATCTTTGGTAGAGGCCTCAATAGCGACCGCCAAGGCGCTAAATGTCCTCTCGACATGCATGGGCTTGTGTGCGATCTCGACTACGACTCGGCGCAACAGCTCTGCCAGGGTGCTGGCAGGAAGTGGGCCGGTAGAAGAGTGGGCAGAGTATAGAGGCCTCTTCACTTGGTATAATTCGAGGACCCCCGAGACACCAACTACCTGGTCGACGTCGAGGGGTGGCAGATGTGAGCCGTACATCGGACACCGGCAGAGCGTATCCGGCTTTGTGGCCACTGAAGCGAGGTCGAGCCCCTGCGCCAGTGTGTCCAAGGTGGAAGGTGGTCCGAACAAGACCACACTCCCAGGTAAGACCTGACCAACATACGCCTGGTGGAGTGGTCCTAGCGTGCTATTGACATTTTCCAGTTGCTGCTCTAGCCCCCTCAGGCTGCAGCCGGGGACGGCACGGGCCCATATGCCGTTTGAGTCTTGGATAGCCCTCCCCGTCCGCTCTAAGGCGACGGCTAGACGGACGGCGATCCCTATGCCTTGCAACCCTAGAGCTATTATAGCGTCGGTGCTGGTCACCGTGGCAGCAATGGAGGCCGCGATCAATCCAATACCAAATCCAACAGGGAGCACCACATCACCGGTTGTACCCGACAGGATGGTCGAATTGTCCTCTGCAAGGCTATGGGAGACATGCGTCAGCGCTTTTTTTCAAATCTTTGTTATAAGTACTTACATTAGCAATTGGCCCATCTGAATTGTGGTGAAGAGTACGATTTCAGCGACCACACTTGGATGTTCTTGCTTAGCGAATCGCTCCGCGAGGTCCACAAGATCCTCGAATGAACCAACCCTTGCACGTTCGCGGCTGTCCAGGCTGTTAACTTGTTCGCAGACCACAGCCGAAGCTGCAGAAAGAAAGGTGCGGAGCTGAGAACGTGTTTTGGATCGCACATTCATATCATACATTGCACCTAGGAGGTCTGTATGCTCATGAGGGAAAGCGAAAATATGCGTGCTCGACATCTTGAAGGAAGTAGGAAGTATTTGGTTTGGGAGTGTGCAAAGACGGTCCTGCTGACTGACGTTTTGGAGAGACCAGAAGATTGGAAGACTGCCGATATACCGAGTTTATATAGCCCTTGGACAGGAAAATATACCCAGGTAGGTGTCCTTCGCCCCAGCTATGGTTGCCATGAATGCTTGGTAATGTTGGAACACGCCCTTTGCACTCCGGAGGGAGAAAGGTTATCATGGGTATCCTCCGATTGCCCTGCTCCCCTGGGACACCGCAACTTTTCGTGTCGGCCACACGCTTACCGGGGTTGAACATGGATATGCATCCTGGCCAGGTGGCCCAAGCAATATTCCGGCAGATCCCTGGCTGCAGTTTTTACGTCTGAAAACATGAACGCCACGTTGCAGTCATGGTTGTAGCAACGGTGGCTCCGGTGTATGTCCGTGGCATGCCCTGGATGTGTTATACACTGTGGTCTGGCATAAGGATTGTCCTCCATATATTCATGATACTCATATATCAAGTTTATATGAGGGTTGCAATGCAACCTTAGCCTCCTACAGCTGTTCCTATAAGCTCATATGAGCTGATCTACTACTACTTCCTGGCATATAGCAATTGCCAATAATGCCCCGATTTCTACTACGACAGGCTTGCAGCTGGGTGAACGGAACCAAGTATGACTGGCAAGTTTTCTGCATATGTTACTAAACACGGTTCAGCGGTACGGGCGTTAATACGAATGATTCATTGTCCCTCAACAGGATTGGAAATCTTCTCTGCAAGGCTGAGTGTTAGACTCCTGCAACATGTATCGGCCCAGACAAATTACCTCCGAATCCTGCATCAACACTGGAACGAGGAATATGGCATCATACTCACCCCATTTGTCGATCAGCGTAGACGACAGCTGTCGGTGGCTCTGGCGGGCTTACGCAAACTGTACCGGGTTGCTGCAGGGGTGCATTTAGCCGATATTGTTATTATAGATTTTTTAGGGTGAACGTCAATCTTGTGGCTGATGAGCGCGCGAATCCTGCAAAGCGTACTTGATTATATCAATCCGGCACATTCGGTTCTGGATTTGCCTGCGGTGAACGTCACGGCGGACCTGCAGTTCTCTGGCACTGTGCGTATGCTGGCGTATAAGCACGTATGTGGTGACAACCAAGCCATGGACTATATCGAGTCTGATATAGAGGGCGGGATATTTCCACTGCATTGGCATGGCCCAGTGTGCCATCAGTAATAGTTGCAACGTGTATCGGTTATGGCGTGATAGGCTGGTGAAGAACACAGTTTCCCCAACCATTAGTTAAAATGTGAACATACAATCTTACTCCTGCAAGACTTACTGGATCCATTTAGGTAATGATGGATGCTGTGAAACTTGTTAAACAGTCATACAGAGTGGATCTGAATTAGTGCATTGTTCATCGTGGTGGTAGCTATCTCTTCAATCACATCTACTAATCCTGTGGGATAGTTATCTCTTCACTAAAATAATAATGGAAATTGTAACACCCGACATAACTGAGATTGCTAATCTCCTTAAACAAGAGCACTACTACCGCGAGACAGCGCAGTAGGTTCTGTACCAGGCTGCCTTGCACCCGATCCACCAAGGTCATACATCAATGTTGCATGGTCCGTGGTAGTCCGTACATTTTTCGTCGTTCAAGCTGTTCCCTGCAAACACACACACCCCTTTGATCCAATCGACATCCATATCGACGGCGGCCGCGCCACCAGTAAGGCCTTCTGCCTGATTACAAGCGCCATCACGCTGCATGGTGTTGATTACAAGCTAGTCTTGTACATTCGTCTCGCGGCCCGCCTTGAGAAGTGTGGACACGGTTCCTGATGCTAGCGTTGCCGCTCGCCATGGCCAGTGGCGCATGCTAAGTCCCGAAGCCATCTACGTCTGCGACTGGCTTGTCAGCGCCTTCCCGGATCTCGGCAATGCTGATCCAGCGCCTCTCACCTTGGCTGATGTCCACGAGACGGAAAGGCACCTACTGAGTTATCAGTATTTGGCATTGGTTATGCAGAACGAGTCTAAGGTCTCACCTGCATCTTCCCAATCGGGAGGATCAAGAGAGCGTACGCCAGGCGTTTGGCCGGCATCAGGCGTTTCTCGATGGCGCAGAGCAGGGACATAGACCAAGGAACCGTTGCCGATAAGACGAGAATGTAACGGAGGCTGCATAAAAGCAGATCATGTATTGCAGATGCAAATCCGAGAGCTTATCGATCATCCAAGCATAATGACCTTCCGGCACCGAGTACAACTGGGAGATAATGAATGAGTCTGTCTCGCACCTTCCAGTTAAAGCTGTTTGATAGAGCGTGGGGCCCAGGAAAGTTGCTCACTGGTGAATCAGACAACTCACTGCAGGCCGGTTTGGTCTCCTCGTATCCTGTGCTTTAGTCCTTCGTATTGAGTGAGTAGCGTCATGATCCTTGTAAAGGGTGTTAAAATACGTTATCTAATTGCCTCATCGGCAAATATCAAGATTTCCGGAAAAGTCTCGGAAAAGCTTAGTATTATTACCGCTGTCGTAGAGAGTAAGGGTATCGAAAGCCAGCTAGCCATAAGAGAACAAGCCGCTCGTCTTCTGGCTCTTCTGGTAATGGTAACGGAAGACGAGCTATACGAATGTGGACCAGGCCGTGGCAACAGATCTGTATCAGGGGGAAATATGGCCGCCGAAATGTCTTACATGAAGATAACCGTCCATGATAACGCGCCGGATGGCTGGATCCGCACAACTTAGTCGGGAAATCTGTTACCTCGCTCTCCATGCAATGTAACATCGACACACGAAGAGGATTATCGCTACATTTAGCCAGGGTATGCCATTCATGTGAAGTCTGAATGTAGACACTATAGTCCTATCCGGGCGTCTCTACATCCCGTAGGTAAACCCCACAAGAGCTATCCTCCGAACAGGCTGTACTATCAACAACTGCACGGTGACTTGACAAACCGGCTGGATAATATCGGTCAGCAGGGTTTCCATTCCTCTGACGTTGAGGGCTCGTATTGAAGACAGCCAGCGGCAAAAAGATCAAGCCTCTCCCAGATAATCCACAAATTTTGACGACACAAAGAGACCCACCGGCCTCTCTGTCAGTCTGACACGAGTGTCACAATCCAAGTGGCCGTCGAGATAGGGAAATGGCGGAATATGTCCGCCATACACAGTACTTCGTCAAAACAACTGGTTAATCTGAACAACCTATTTTAGGAGCATCTGGATCCTTCGGCTTACAACCAGGGTGGGGACGGAGTACTTCAGGCCGGCGTAAAGCGTGATATATTACCCTGCATCAGCTGGATCCATATTGGTCCTGGAGTAATGCGGGCAGCGTGTATTGGGTATGTCGTATTAGGCATGTGGAAGACACAAATTATCTCCGAAAGTCCACTGAAATGTGTGCTGGGCAGGTTTCTCCTACATGTCTCAACGAATCTTTTGGGCAATGACGGATTCTACTCCGTCCGTTCTAGCACGTCTTCAGCATGTGAGATTTGGTGAATCTCTTAAAGCGCGTACGTGGAGTTGGCCTACGGACATGCCAGCTATCTCATCCTTTGAATTGATATATCCTGACTTAGCCGTTACAACTGGAGAATAATGGCGGTAGTGACACCGGACATCATCGAAATCGCTAACCTCCTCAAACGAGAGCGCTACTACCGCGACACAGGCCAGTGGTGCCTGTGCCGAGCTGCTTTCCATCCTGATCCGTCGAGAACACATATTAATGTTGCATGGTCTGTTGCCAGTACCTTTCTTTTCCTAACATGCTGAAGCCTAATTTCCCTTCAGGTATGCGGGTCAAGTTGAGGAGTTTGTCCACCAATCTGCCAAAATTCACCAAGGCAAAGTAAATATCATCCACTCTTCTTTTGATCCAGTCGATATCCGCGTCAAGGGTCGCCGTGCCACCAGCGAGGCATTCTGCATGATCACTAGCTCTATTTCATTGCATGGTGTTGACTATGAGCTATCCTCCTACATCCGTCTCGCAAGCCGTCTTGAAAAATATCCAGGAGAAGCAGATAAGAATTCCAATGCTGGACCAGGCTCAGACCAGTGGCGCATGCTAAGCCTCGAAGCCATCTATGTCCGTGACCGACTCGTCCGCGCCTTCCCGGACCTTGGCGGAGACGCGCCCGCTCCATGCTCTTTGGCAGAACAAGCAGAAGTGGAAGGTTACCCTCGAAGCTATCGGAATATGGCACTGGTCATGTTGAAGCGGGGTCTTAGTCCTCGCCCGGATCTTCCCAACGAGGACGACCAAGAGAGTGTACGGAGGGTGCTTCGTCGGAATCAAGAGTTTCTTGATGGCGCTGAGTAGTAGTGGGATAGATGGCCGGAAAAGTTCTTAGTAAATCACTTGCAAGAGGCGGACAATGCGACAAGAAGCGGGATAAACTCTAGATCAATGCCTTCTCTTCACTCTTCGAACAAGACAAGCCGTCATTACGGCAAACATAATGACAATTCTGTGTCCGACATAATTGCGCAACAACTCTGGGAGCCTGGAGCACAGCAGTCTGACAGCACAGGGAGCCGAATTTGTCCTTCAATAGAACAAACTGACTCATTCAAGGATAGGTCGGTCTTCTTGTAATCCAGCGCATTAGCTCCCTCGTATTGATGGCTTAGCGTCACGATCCTTGTAGGGAAAACTGAGCTCCTTATTAATTGACCTCACAGCAAACGCACCAGTCCTTTTTGGAGAGCTGCCCAAAAGATTGGCTACATTACCCTTGCCTCAAATGTATTGAGAGGATAAGCATGGGTTATCTTGCCATGATGAAGCCCAAACATAGGATTGGGAAGAAGAAGCAAGGAGTGTGTATAATACTGATGCCAGAATCCGGATTTTTGCTCTGAAAAGGTTTGGGAGTGACTTTGACGATCGTTTTTGGAATGAACTCGCCCGCTTTGCTGCTTTCCTCGTATCTTTAGTTCAGATCGTGGGGAGTCGAAAACTGACGAGAGACTGAGGTTGCCTTAATGCTGACGTCTGCACCAAATGTTCACAAGCCAAAGAATGGAACGTGCCTCCTCCTAATGTAATGATTTCAGGCTCTCGTAACTATGGAAGGGCAGTCTCGCTGATACTGTGGAAATAGATGAACACTGCATCGCACCCGAATGACTTCCAATAGTCTCACATGACAGATAACCACAGCATCATCTGTCGTCTGGTTTGTCTGTTCACATCGAATTGTTAGCCTAGAAGTTTAACAAATTAAGTTATTTGGGAGAAATGAGAAAAGGAATGAGTTACATGTATGCCTCATCATAATGAGCTATCCCTAAACTTGGGTGAACTAAGGGGCTATGGGCTGCCTGTACTCTCTGTATTAAGGAAAAGGCGAACATTAAGTTACTATAAGTTAAGTATGTGCATTGATTTTGCGGTTCATGGAAAGGGATAGGGTACTAAATTTTTTTATGCTTAGTAAAGATTCAGTGTCTGAAACTTAACCAAGCACTGCGGGCCATGGACCGCCAATATCTTGAACGGTGACAAGAAGCTGCTGTCCTGTGCAACTGCCGCCGCTCGACACGGCCAGAAGGGATTATCCATTAATAGTGTGTAGCAGGTAATCTAGTGCTTTATGATCCGTGCATATAATTGTGTGTAGGTTGACTTAATTCCCACCTCAGCCTTGGCAACCGCGAGAGCCGTAGTTTAGAATATACTAACTATAGCCTGAGCTACAATCCTCTGAATCTATTTAAACAGCTACCCAATTCTGGGGGGAGTAATAGTATCCTTTTAGGTAGGGCACTACACAGATGCTACGGAGTCGATCTTTAATGCAACTATGGAGTTAAATAACTGCTGAGCAATCAATGGCGGTAGGCCGCGGAGGTGTCTTAGACTGGGTGATATAACTTTAGTAATACTAGGTCCTGTCCTGCCTTTAATAGCACTATAATCTTAGCTACTCTCTAGGCTTTAGGGAAGTAGCTAAACTAGAGGGATGCTTAAAAGATCTTAATAACCTTATATTTTATAGTTAGCTAGATTTAGTACTATAAATTATAGAGAGTCTATCTGGCTATAAGGCTCTCCATGGAGCCATTTTTATAAGGATAGCTTTAACTTTATATAGGGAGCTTACTCTCATTAGGAGAGGATCTAGCTACTACCTTTCTTCCCCTAACTCATCTAGGATATTAGGTAATAGAGGGAAAAAAGCTAGTTTAAGTATGTATGCCCTTTCCTTATTATTATTAAATATCTGATCCACTGATGTCCAAACTTAATTAGAAACTGAATATCAACCATGACAACACCTTAACAACAGCTTGATGTCAGGATGGCAATGCTAGGACTTACAGATCTCTGGGGCAGTATAGGGATAATCCCTATAGATTACTCCCCAGGTTCTAGATATCACGCTACCTTCTAGATATTATTAATATTATTTAGGAACTCCTGCTAGTATTATTACTTAGTATCTTAGATTACATAGTAGTACTGTCTCCTTAGGTCTGAGGTAGTATTTCCTAGCTTAGTTAGGGCTACTCTATATTACTAGGATTATATGCACCAGTTCTGCGTCCTTATATATATATCTTATAACTTAGTTAATTCAGGCCTATTTAGTAAAGGGGAAGGATTACTAATAGCTAGTTACTATTTAGTATAAGGCTAATTTTAATAAGTAAATATAGAATTCTTGGTTTATCCAAGGTGGGCATAGAGTATACCACTATACATGTGAACCTGGTCTACTTGTTCTTGCAGAAAAGAACTATATTTTAGTAATAAAGTAGATATTTCATTATAATGGAATTCTTTAATGGTCTAGACAGTCTGTTGGTAAGAGCTATAATTCTTACTACTATAACTAGTGTCTATATTGGACATGACTTCTAGGTTARTCCGCTATGGTTGATCGTTGATCATATCCATGGTTCTGGCGGCCATGGATTATTATCGATAATCACCGATTTCAACCATTAGCGAATGGTGATCTAATCTATGAGATCACCCGGCTATGAGATCATTCAATATTCGAATGGTCTATGCTAGAAGGAATTATCTATAAATACACCCTTGAAATCACCCTATAGCTAGTAAGAATTAACTAAGGGAATTAAGATATTAAGCTAAGGTATACTTAGCTATTTTCCTTCTACTATTCTATTCTATTCTACTACTATTCCTTCTATTCTTCCTATTCTTCCTTTATACTTAGGCAAGCTATCTATTCCCCTTTGCATTCATGAAATTTCCTTTGTTATTTATATATTATCTATTATATACTATTTCATTATTTTTATTCACAAATATAACCTAATCTATATCTACTCTATTATAATTTAGACCCCCTTCTACTGTGATGACTATTCTTAGTTATATAGTATAGCTTTAATTTTTCTAAAATAGGAAATGACCTTATATCTAAGAAGTTAATTAATAAAGAGTTTAGACTTATAGCTATAATTAAACTATAGTATAAATAGTATATCTTTATTATATTATGTTCTTTATTTGCATTTTATAAGGTAGTTATTATTAGGGTAATATTATTATAAGTAATTAATTTACTATATATTATATTTACTACTTCTTTATTTGATTTTCTCTTTTATTATCTTAATANTTTTATTATCTTAATAACTCTTTATTATTATATTTCCCTCTTTTCTCTTATCTTTTATTTACTAATTATAATATCTTTATTAATTTAGATATTTATATTTATAACTCAGCATCCTTAATATTATTATAGTTTATACTTATTCTCTTATCTTAATAGTAATAGTTCTATAACTCCTATAGTATATACACTGCTTACATACCTCTATAAAGAACTTTAACCTATATAGTAGTACTCTATTTATAATTAACTATATTTTTAATATAAAGAAGTTAATCTTATGCTCTTAGTACTAATATCTAAATTAGAGAATGATAATAAATAGAAGGTTAAAGAGATTAAGAATAGCTAACTCTTAAATAATAAATATTACTACTTAATAAAATAGAAGGACTAGCCCTTAGAGTATAATTAGTAGACTTATATTAATAATATAGTTAATATATAAGAGGTAATATAAAAATTTAAGGCTAAAACTATTATTCTTAACTAGTATAAAGATGCTAGAAGGAGCTAGTTATACTAAAATATAGATATAGAAAGGAGTTAGATATACTAGCCTAGATCTCCTCTAAAGTAATCTATAGTATCCTAATTAGCTATTTTATTACTATAAATATAGATAATAGCTACTAGGATCTCTTTAAAGAATACCTAAAGAGCTATACCCTAGCTAGTATATCCCTTATTACTAGGTAGTAAGTATAATAGCTTTTAAGAGTAATAAAAATACTACTCTTCTACCCCTATATTAGTAGCTAGAGGTAAGATATATACTAACTTATAATATTAATCTATATAAAAGGAGTTATAGCTAGATAATATCTTCTATAGACTAACTTATTAGTAAAGCTATTGTTACAACACCAACACAGCCACATTAGCGCAAGGCGGATGTGACAGGCAGAATCTAGAGGATTATTAATCACTAATCAATCTTGAAATGATCACCCAGCAATCTAGGGAAATACTTAATCTGGATAGACCCCTTCTCACAGAAAAACAGTTCAGTTATACACTACTACACCATATAGGTAACCACCACCCACCAGTCACCCACGTGACTGATCTCTGGTAATGACCAGTTATTATGGAGGACAATTCATATTTACTAAAAGGATATTAAATATAGCTATCACATCACATAACTAACTACCATGTGCCACAGCTTGGCAATGGTAGATGGGTAGATATGATAGATGGTATGTCAGTATCATCAACATCTACCATCATACCATTCTACTATCTACCTCAACTATCACCTGGGGAAACTAAGGATATATAAAGGCACTTATTACTATTATATCTAGCACTCTTAGTTTTAGTTTCTTGCATTTAATATAAGTTATTCACTTAAGTATAAGTTCACTAGTCTAATTCATCAGTTACTCTCTTACTATTAAGTATATATACTTAATAGGCCCTGCTTCTATCTTTGCTATTATTATTCTTGTGTATCTTTGGATTATCCTTAATCCTGTTCAGATCATTATACCATTGAGCATATCTATACCCCACCAGTATATCATTAGGCCACTTGATCAGTAGGCCTTAGGCAAGTATCGGATATAGTCCAGGGACTATATCATTCCCGAAGTAGTGACTAGCAGGAACAGCAGAGACGGATCCCAGGGGGTGACAGCTATATCTAAATAGTATAAATTTAATAGACCTACCATAACCTCCTTCTTAGAGGAAACTACTAATCTATATTACTTATAATAGG